CCCACACCTTCTCTTTCTTGATACATGAGAAGCCTAGACACAATGTGATATCACAGTATACGCTAACAGAGAGTGATCACAAGCTCCGTTTCTGTCTCAGGGGCTAGGAAGCTCTACATACCTTGCCAAGCCCAAGAGATTAAACTGCAGTTGCACCATACGCTTCGGCTTTGCTTGCCCTAAACACCGTCAAGGACAGGGGCTGTTTGGAGAGCCCCATCAGACTGTAACCCAGTCACCTGGAATCACTCCTGTCACCTCATGGGCAACGTGGGAAAGTTCAGATTAAAAGACTAAGCCGAGGTGCAATAACTGTGGGTGCTTCAGCACAGCAGCAAGGCTCTGCCTTGGCAACCTTCCCCCTGTGTGTGGAGGAACAGTGAGCTTGGCTCCTAACCTTGGGCTGGCCCGGGTGGCTTGGGTCACAGGAATGGCATGCTTCAAAGGGGGGGAGGGGGAATAGCAGGGGCTTCTTCTGAAAATATTAACCCATCTATTTGGAGAGTGATGGCTGCCTTTGAAATCTCTCCTTATAGATCTATATTTAGCACCGGGGCAAGGAGCGTGTGGCTGGGGGTGTGAGGGGTGGGTTGGGGGAGGGCTCCCTGTGGAGCCCCACGCCTTTGTCCTCCAGCCATGCCCCCACAGGCTCAGCAGCGGGGACGGGGCTGCCCGCCATGCCTGGACAGGGTCCCGAGCCCCCACCTCACCTCCCTTCGCTGCACCCCGAACTCACAGGATTTCGAGGGGAGGGTGGAAGTTGGGTTGTATTTTTCTTTTTCGCTTGTATTCCTCTTTTTCATATATTTTGCCTCCCTCCCCTCGTGACCCCCCTCCTCCTTCTAAATAGGAGATGTTCTCAGGACAGCGCCCAGGAGACTGGCTGGAATCAGTTTTGGAGGGTGATGCACCGCGACAGCTAAAAGTTGGATAGGGTTTCAGCAGCTCCTATATAAAGCAGGGGGGACTTATGTCACTGCACTAATTAAATTCCAGCTGGGTTGTTCCTCGGGGTGTTTTTGAGCCTGCCACCCAACTCAAGCAGGCAGAGAGGCCGAGGGACAGCATGATGATGGACCTTTTTGAAACAGGCTCCTATTTCTTCTACTTGGACGGGGAGAATGGAGCCCTGCAGCAGCTGGAGATGGCTGAGGGATCCCCGCTGTACCCAGGCAGCGATGGCACCTTGTCCCCCTGTCAGGACCAAATGCCGCCAAAAGCCAGCTGTGACAGCAGCGGAGAAGAGCATGTGCTGGCACCCCCGGGACTACAACCCCCTCACTGCCCCGGCCAGTGTTTGATCTGGGCTTGTAAAACTTGCAAGAGAAAGTCGGCCCCCACGGACAGACGGAAAGCAGCCACCCTGCGGGAGAGGAGGAGACTGAAGAAGATCAACGAAGCCTTCGAGGCTCTGAAAAGGCGGACTGTGGCGAACCCCAACCAGAGGCTGCCCAAGGTGGAGATCCTGAGGAGCGCCATCAGCTACATCGAGAGGCTGCAGGACCTCTTGCACAGGCTGGATCAGCAGGAGAAAATGCAGGAGATCGGGGGGGACCCCTTCAGCTTCAGCCCCAAGCAGGGAAATGTAAGCACCGCCGTTCGATTCCTCCCGCCGCCCCGGCACCCAGCTGCGAAACCGCCGCGCCCGTCCCCTCCCCTCCTCCTCGGCACGGCCTCTGCGGCAGGCCCGGGCGGGCTGGCGGGCACGGAGGGGGCTCCTCCAGGAACAGTGCGAGCTCCTCGGGCCTCCAGCGGGTAGCCGGCCCGCCCCGGGGAGCCGCCGGCCACCTCACTAATACCCGTCCTCTCCCCGTCTCTCCCCATCCCCTCAGGGTCCC